TTTCGTAAAAGAATGTGAACTCATCAAAACGTCATTTTTGTCCTCTTGGACTGTTAATCAGAAAAACCTTTTTCAGAAGGAATAAAATCAACCAAGACAAGTTTGTGTCGTACGTAGCCCGAACTACGTTTGCTCTGATCTTCCATGCTGTGTGGAAGTACGTAGGCATAGGATGCGATATCCTAGCGAGCAACCTTCCCCTCCTTTCCCGTAGGTAGGCGAACTACGTTGACTCTGATTTCTCGTTCCAGACGGGAATACGTAGGCATAAAGTGCGATACTTTTCCGAGTCATTTTTATTTTCATTTTATTTTCTTTTTAACCCTTGACCTATAGTTTAGATAGAATAACAATCCATACCCGAAAACAAGCGTGGATCCCGTCGAGTACGACGGACGTGAGGGGTGCTAATACCTTCCCCTTGCGTAACCGACTCCCGAATCCAGGTTTTGGTTGCGATGACCATACCTTTCCCGTGTTGTGCGAGGTTTACTCTGAGCGTTTCCTTTCCCTCCCGTGGGATAAATAACGCACGGTGGCGACTCTTCTGTTCAGCCGGCGCCGATTTTCGCAGTAGCGACACATGGCATTCATCATTTCTTGATATGTTCGATTCTTTCTTTCTGCTATGCCATTTTGTTGTGGTGTTCTAGGTGCCGAACATTCATGTATTATACCGTGTTCTTCACAAAATGCATCAAATTCAGTAGAAAAGTATTCACCGCCCCTATCACTCCTAAGGACTTTTATACTTCTACTTAATTGATTTTCCACTTCTGCTTTGTAACTCTTAAAGGCATTAAAAGCCTCATCTTTATGCTTTAAGAGATATACATAAGTGTATCTAGAACAATCATCAATAAATGTAATGAAATATCTATTTCCCCCACGGGTCAACATGCCATTAAATTCGCACAAATTTGAATGTACAAGATCAAGCAGATTTGTATTTCTTTCAACACTTTTGAAAGGTTTCTTAATCATTTTTGATTTAACACATAATTCACATTTATTGAAATCATTGATATTACATGATATCAAACCAAGTTTAATTAGTCTCTTCATTGAACTAATACCAATATGTGCTAGTCTATTGTGCCATAAAGTAACTGAATCAAGCATGTAAGCAGAATTAGAAATTTCATTAATCATGTTCTCAGTAATACATAGTTTGATCATTCCTTCAGCGGAATATCCTTTTCCAACAAACACACCATTACGGGTCAAAATAAGTTTGCCCGATTCATACACAGATTTAATACCCGGTTTTCCCAATAAATCCCCACTAACAAGATTCCTATTCATGTCTGGGACATGAAGCACATTAACAAGAGTAACTTTCTTTCCAGAAGTGAAGTTGAGTTCGACCGTTCCGGTTCCAACAACTTTGGATCGTACTTCATTTCCCATTTGTACTTCTTGTCCATCATTTGTCTCAGAATATGTTTTGAATGCAGCCCTATCATATGAGACATGAACCGTGGCACATGTATCATACCACCAGCCTTGGACCTTGCCTTTGATTGCCATAACGCTTACAGTAGCAATTATATCATCATTAGCATTCACTGCATTGATCTCTTTTTTTGATTTATTTTGCCTGCAATCTCGAGCATAATGTCAAGGTTTTCCACATACAAAGCATCCATTTTTCGGACCCTTCGGATCACCAAAGTTCTTGAACTTGGTATGTTCCCTTTTTGGTGCGATGTGACTTTTCTTGACATCATGTTTTTTATTTTCCTTTCTGGTCACAGCATTGGCTTTGGAAAGACCCGCAGATTCTGATTTTTCCCTCTCCTTCGATTCCTCCTCGATTCGAAGATGTTTCTGGATTTTCTCCAAGGAAAAGTCATCAGAACTGTGCAACCGTTTCTTTTTATAGCCTTTCCACGAACTTGGTAACTTCGCAATGATTGCACCAACTTGAAAGGTTTCAGGAATATTTATTTTCACCGCTTTGATTTTGTTTACCAGGACTTGCAATTCGTGCACTTGGGGAAGTATGGGCTTGGAACCTATAAATTTAAAATCAAAGTATTTAGAAATTAAGAACTTTTTCGTACCTTCTTCTTCGGCTTTGAATTTAAACTCCAGTGAATTCCATATGTCTCTAGCGGACGGATTGTCCGTGTATAGGTCGTATAGGCGGTCAGACAGCGTGTTCAGAATATGTCCACGACATAGCAATTCGTCCTCCCTTCGCAGCATGCGCTTCTTCTTGAGTTCGTCAGAATCATCTTCAGTTGGTTCTGGAATTGGTGTCAGATCAGGATTCAAGACGTAGTGAACCTTGAGTGCAGTAAGCAGGAATGTCATCTTGTCTTGCCATCTGGTAAAGTTGTTTCCATCGAAGCGATCCAATTTGACAAGATCCTGATTCATAACCTTGATACTTGAAACAGCAGCGTCGGAATCCATGATACAAATACTTTTAAGATTGTTAGATAATCCTTCAATGTCGAATGGATCCAGACTGAATCGTGAACGAAATCACTTTCCTTAAAAGTATTTCAAGCACACTCTCAAATTGTCTTAGAGTTGGAACGACCTGAATACCCAGGATAAGTCAGCCTTTTTCTCGAAATTGCACAAGACTGGTGAAGTTTCGAATGCAAAGAAAACATTTGGAATTATATAGAAGAGGATATCAGATTTTGGAGTATTTGATTTCGAATTATCAAGCATATATTTATAGCCATGCATGTGTCTTTTCAGAAGTTTGCAATTCTTCATAAACACACTCTCTAATGAGCATTTGCAATGGTTCAAATAAAATGTCATGCACCACTTCATGAATTGTCATATATTTCGAATTCAAATTCAAAATCAAACTCTAGGCAACGAATGAAATCTGGAGCGATAATTAAAATAAATTTGCAGTATACCGGCCGAAGGCCGGTCCGCCCGTCGGAGGCGGCCGGAGCGCCACCGGCGCCGCCTCATTAACGCCGCGAATAGCCCGATTGCTCCGATGCGTCGTGCCTAAGTGCTCAAGTGCCATCTACAAGCCGCCACTAGCGCCTCTACGCCCACGCCCTCGGATTCGGTTCCGGTTCCGGAGCCGGTGGCGACACCGGCGAGGGGTGTTTTGTATGAGACAAGTGACATAAGTTTTGGCACCACCACATATGACTATGTGGCACTTTATCCTCTTTGACTCCTTTGAAAATTACACTGTTCCAAGTGCCTTATAAATGCTAATTAATTTTACTCCACTTCCAATGTGGGACTAAGCATTTATTGTCAATTAACTATAACACCCACTTTGTCATTTTGGAACAACTTTAATGGAAATAAATTATTATTTCCAACAGATTCTTCTTTGTGGAAACAGCTTGTGAAGATTTGGCTTACAGTGGAAGCTAATCATCATTGGAAAGTTGGCGACCGTAAAATGGTGAAAGCTCGGGATTCATATGGGGATTGGAATTGGAGAATGTTGCAGTCACAGACGCCCATAGCAGCCATAAATACCATTGCGGGCATGTCTTCGCCTTCAACGGAAGTTGGTCCAGACTGTATCATCAGTTTTGGAAATAAAGGAAGAGCTTTCTCCATTAGTGAAATGTACGAGATTCTGAAAAGAAATAACATGCACATGAAGGAAGACATTTGGAAAAAGATATGGAAGTTAAAAACCACTGAGAGGGTGAGAAGTTTTGTGTGGATGCTTTGTCATGATGGTCTTCTCACCAACAATAAGAAGAATAAGATGGGTCTTGGTACAACTATGTGTCAATTTTGTGGGAATGAGGAGGAAGATGCTCTCCCCGTGCTCCGGGACTGCCAGCTAACAATGCAGGTGATCTAAAACAGTGGATAGAGAAACTCATGAAGACAACTTCTCTAGACCGTCAAATATGATGTTTCACGTCAAGAACATCACGCAAGAGTACAATCTGGCAATGCTTGCTTCCAAAGTCGTCAACACACATTCTCACTTGGGAAGCTCCTAGTGCGGGGAGGGTAAAGTTCAACGTGGATGGAGCTAGAGGCAAGTTTGAAATTGTAAGGTGTGGAGGAATTATTTGGGGAGATGAAAGATAGCGGCTTGGGGGTTTTACTAAACATATTAGCCTTTGTGATGTGTATACAACAGAGCTATAAGGAGTGTAGCCACCAAGAAAGGCTTCACCAGGATTGATCTGTGTGGATTCTTCTCAAGTGGTGCACGACATTAATGCTAGCCAAGCTAGTAACATAATGGGGAGAAGTCTGATTGAAAAAATCATGATGATCATAAATAATTACAAAGAGATCCGTATTATGCATGTCTACAGGGAAGCGAATTTGTGTGTTGATGCCTTGGCTAAGCAAAGTATCCACCATGTTGGAGACATATGTTGGTTGGTTTCGTGCCCTCGACAATAATTCATTTGTTTGTTGGGCTTAAGCCCTTCCATTTAAAAAAAAAAAAAGTATGCCCACATGTTACTTTAGAATTTATGACGGTGCAAGAATTGTATCGTGGTAATAACAATTGATTTTCATGAATAGCTAGCACCATATCTGTGTCAAAGGAATCCACAAAAAATGTAATGACAAACTTGATCCTTAATTTGTAGCTAAAGAATTAATCAATATCTTCATAGTGGAATATTATTCTAAAATGATTAAATTTTCAAAATCTCCCATACTACCATCGGCATAATCCTGGTGAATTATATATCTATCAAACTCATTAATCTCTAAATCTCATTAGTTTCTTTTACAATTTTTCTAGATTTTTTTTTATCACTAGTGATTCGGCCTTTTTTCTATATAATCTCCTCTCCTGACTACAAAATCTCCTTATCTTCTCTCTATCATTACCCTTATAAAATACAAAAAGAGAATACATACCACTTGCGGCGGCACAAGGCATCCTGAAGCCACATCAAATGGAGGAGAGTAAAGTATTTACAAAAATTGAAAATATAAATCGAGCCTAGTGTTCCATGTTCACCGTGTACTCTAATTAGGTCATTTATCAGAGATCATCAGACACGAGATAGTAGTTATTCGCCCTTTTTGTTTGTCTCTACAGGAGCCTTAACGTCCAAGCCCATCTCTCGCATTTGATGTTCAACAGAGACTAAACCAGTTTCCGCAAGAAACCTGCAGAAAAATAAAAGCATTGGAAGATCAACAGAACAATCCTAACCAACATCAGATCTCATAGTAAGATGTTATAAGAAACAAAGCATTTCAGAAGTTTAATTTGATACTGATACAACAATAAAATCGTGCATTTCCTTTTCTTCTGGTTTTCTCTTTGTAATTTTCCCCAGAAGGATACCGAAAAGTTCTATGAATTATTTCATCCAAACAGAAAAAGCATATGCAATGAACTTTAGTTTTTCTTCCAAGTATAAAACTCACGCCCATTCCAATGACATTACTTCCAAACTGGAACATTTAGGAACTCATGCGAGCAAAATGTTTACACAACATCAACATGATAAAAATAATGTTGCATCACATACTTAATGCCAACAAAATGAAGAAAATGACAGCATTTCAATTGTAGATGGAATGGAAAAGATAGGTTCTATATGTTGTTTTCTTTTGCTCTAACTCTTCTAGTGAAACTGAGATGTATTACCTTTTTATCTTCATATTCCTAGATATGCTATTTTTAGTGAGACCAAATGGCGGACAAACTAGTAGTCAAAGATAGGGAGACAAAGGAAAGGTTAAACCATTTGAAAGCTCAGTTCAAGAGACGAGATCTAAAGCTAACTGATTCATCAAATATGTAGTCGCAGATTCAAGAGACGAGATCTCGACCATTGGATGAAGATCAGACAACCCATCTAGTTTAACCAAACAAGCTTTAAAATACAATTCAAAGTACAAGTCACCGGATCAGCACCCAAACACAACATAAAATCCTATTCCTTACATTATGGCTAGCAGATTATGTAGCAAGCGACTCAACAATCAATGAGCAGCACCCATAAACAAAATCAAAAGGGAATATGAATTGGTTCATGTTCAATTTATACTTCACAGGAACTTTGCATACAAAACATGAATGATAATCAAAGCAATTACAATTACAGAAGGGATAAAATACTCAAAGGGTAAGAGTAAAAGTACCAGCTAAGAAGAAAGAAGAGGGTAACACAAATTAGAACAAGAAACGCAACATGAAGCACCATCCACGAATCACTAGAAGAGAATGCTAAACCCAGCATAACAGCAAGACATAGACCCAACAATAAAAACGCAGACTTTAATGTATTCCATGTAGCTCCCTGAACCAATAAACGAAAAAAAATCAATGAATCGTTAAATCTAATGAAAATGGGAGGAAAAAAATGAAATTGAGAAAGGGGGAACGAGAGTAGAGACGTTAACACCGGGAGCAAGAGCTCCTAGTAGAACTGCTGTTGCTGAAGATACTTCTCCAGTACTCGATTGTGATTCTGAAGGGTGGTGCTGATCCATTCTGAGATTCAAATTGTAAATATTTAGGGTTTTGTTTTGTACTGCATTGGGTAGAAATCAATTAATTAAGAACATTAACATATGGATTTCAGCGTGTGATGAAGCTCAATATTAAAAATCCAATTATATATATATATATATATATATATATATATATATATATATATATATATATATATATATATATATATATATATATATATATATATATATATATATATATATATATATATATATATATATATATATATATATATATATATATATATATATATATATATATATATATATATATATATATATATATATATATATATATATATATATATATATATATATATATATATATATATATATATATATATATATATATATATATATAATTTTTTTTAATATCACTATATATTATATAATAATTACCAAACAAAATAAATTTTTAAATAATTTACAAAAGTGACCACATTTCAACGTTGATTCGCCGGTCCAATTGGCGAATTAGGTCAAAACAAAAAACCAAAAGAAACACTTCGCTATATCAATTGGCGAATTAGGCCAATGAAAAAGGACTTTTCTAGATCAATTGGCGAATTAGGCCAATGGAATTTAATTAGGGTTTTCACATTTTCATATCGGAGTGTTTTGTTTAATTATATATTTTTTTATTTATAACTATATACTTTATTCTTAATTAATGATTTAATTATTTTGATTATGATTTAGTAAATTAAAATAAATTTTTTTATAGTTATAAATATTTTAATAAATTGATTGTCTAAATATTTGATTATTTGTATTATTTGTTTTTGCTGTATTTTGATGAATTTAAGTAATTATAAAAAAGAAGGTTTAATAAATTTAAGTAATATTTTTAAATAATATTTATGAAAGAATGTTTAATAAATGTAAGTAATTTTTATTGTTTTTAAATTATAAATAATTTAAAAATTCTAATTATAAATTAATTTAAATACAAAATAAAAATTGAATAACAAGTTAATTTTAAAGCATATAAATTGATTTAAATTATAAATTGTAAAACGTAAAAATTGATTAACCATTGAATTATAAGGTGTGTAAATGTTGTAAGGTTATTTAGGTCATATTATATAGGGTACGTACCCGTACCATTTTTTTACTATAAATACGACCGCAAACACATGTATGTTTTCACAACATTACATCCCAAAAGACTAAAGTCTTAGTGCAGTTTGAGTTGAGTGGAGTTTAGAATGTCTGTGTTTCTAAATCAACGTTCTTCGTCGTCGTCGTCATCAGCATCGGAGGAACCTTTTCCAACGTTCGATCTAATGAAAAGAAATGCCCTAGTTGTGTTTTCAGCAACAAAGCCTCCGATGAAGGTGCTCCTGTGGAATATGCAGACGTTGGAGCACTTGCACAGGAAACTGAACCGCTGTCTAGAAGGGGATATTGGTCCAGGAGAAAAGATTAGGAAAATTGAGAGGTTGGTCGAGGAGACCGGGAGAAACGGAGTTACTCGCGAGTGGAGAAAAGTGGAAAATGATGTTGGCGTCCTTGTGATGATGTTGACACCAAAGAAGATAAAGTTGATGGTCGTCATATCGTAGATGCCTTGGTGCAGTGTGTTGTTTTATGTCTTTACGTTGTTGTTATGTTTGTTTAATTTATGATGCCTGGGTGTAGTGTTCTGTCTTTATGTTGTTGTTGTGTGCGTTAAGTATGCTTTTAATCGAATGAAATTTGCTATTAATTGAATGAAATTTGCTATTAATTGAATGAAAGTTGCTATTGAATTAAAGGGACAAGATTAAATATGAAACTATGATCTGCTGCTTGATCCCACGTTAGGACATTTTGTTCGATTGTGTCCTGGTTGCCGACACGAACTACACAATCTCACCAGCTTGTCTGCGGTATCCATCTCAGTTCGAATGCGCGTGCTGTTAGGCCGACCCTTCTTCTGTTTGCGCATCAAGTCATTGTGCCAAACAATTTCGCCTTCGTATTCAGGCCAATAGTCCTCCTTTGCTTCGACTTGAAAGCTGCATGTGTAGACATTGTATAGACTAATGACTTCGTGAACTGCAGAAAGAAGGTTGGTTGGGTCCTGGCGGAACTTGGAACATGCTGCTATGACATAAGAGCACGGCATACGATATGCTTGAAACTTTCCACAATCACACCAGCTCTTATCCAATTCAACACGGTAACATCCTCTAGGCCTCCCTTCGTTGTGATCCATAGACTCCGCAACACTGAACCAACCAGCTGTACGGTCAAATATTGTGACCACGTGTGTGTTGGCTTTGGCAGCTTCGTCTTTCATGAATTTCATTGAAGTATCGCTGTACAGCTGACCAGATTGTAATACCGAACCCCACTTCATACGTCTGCTATCAAAGAGTGCTCCTAGCCTAAAATAGGTTGCCTTTACCAAGGCAGTTATTGGGAGGTTTCGGATTCCCTTGAAAACAAAATTCATTGACTCGACGAGGTTGGTTGTCATGTGGCCCCATCGCACCCCATTGTCGTATGCCCGCGTCCATTTCTCCCTATCAATGCTATCAATCCATCTTAATGTGTCCGTGTTGTTCAGCCTGATCTCGTCCTAGTAGTATCTGAATGTGGGTTCAGTTAGTGCATATCCCGCGTTCACAACCTTCTTTCGCAGCGTCCTGTCCTTGATTTCCCGCATGAAATTTTGGGCAATATGCCTTATGCAATAGACGTGGGTCGAGGGAGGATCATGCCAACCGTTGTCATGGTTGTTGTATGCACTCTCGATGGATGGGTGTCGATCAGAGATCAAACATAAGTTAGGTTGTGGAGACACGTAAGAGCGGAGGTTTTTTAAGAAAAAACCCCAACCCCCAGCAGTCTCCTCTTCTACTATGGTGAAGGCTATTGGGAAAATGTTGTTGTTCCCGTCCTGTGCCACAGCCATGATAAGTGTGCCATTATATTTCCCGTATAACCATGTTCCGTCAATTTGAATTATAGGTTTACAAAATGCAAACCCTTTGATGCATGGTTCGAACGCCCAAAAGACTCTGTGGAAAATTCCATTCCCACCAACACAAGTCCCGTCTGGTGTACAAGCAGACATCGTCTCCAATATCGCAACAGTTCCTAGAAAGTAGTGTTTAAGGGCCACCAGGAATTTAGGAAGTTCCTTGTACGACTCCTCCCAATTTCCAAACACCCTTTCAACCGCTTTAGTCCTGGCAATCCAGGCTTTTCAATACGAAGGAGTGTAGTTGTACCTTTGTACCATATGTGCTATTATGGTACTTACCTTCAAAGACGGGTTGTCGCTAACAACTAACAGAATCTCATCGCAAATCAATTTAGAGCTGAGTTTGCGATGGTCTTGCATCGGATTTGAGATTATACAACTGTGGGACGGACCCATTGACCCTATCTTCCAGGAATCGTTTCTCTTCCTGAAAGATGCTGTTAATCGGAATGGGCACTCCTCATTGTGACAATAGATCGTATACCGCGTCGGATTTGTCTGATCGACTCTGTAGTCGGATGACAAGTCCAGGTGAAACTGTTTGATAGCCCAGACACAATCTTCTTTCGTACGAAACTCATCACTCTCTTTTAGTTGCCCCTCTGGTGTGTAGTTGGGGTAGTAGAAAACATCGGTAGAGGGTTCAAAATCACCTAAGGCAATAGTAGTCTGGTGTTGAGGTGGACAATAGACATTGTCAGGTTGAACTTCGTCCTCCGGATTGTTCACCATCTCGTCAACAGTGACTTCAGTTGCTTCTTCTTCTTCGTCAACGACATTGACTTCAGGGTGTTCATCTTCGTCATCGCAAAAAACTTGAGATGAATCAAGTTGTTGAGACAATTGTTGTTGTTGTAACGTAACATATAACACGATATCTGAGAACCCAGAATACTCGTGACTGCGGAACATGTTACGCACGTCTTCATCGTCTCGCACCTTTAAAGGGCAAAATTTGCATGAATCAGGTCCGCCAAAAAATACTGGGTTTTTGTATATTATTTGCCCAACTGGACCATATTGCAGTTTTCTTTCTATTCTTGACTTCAGGTGTAAAAAATTAGACCTTCTGTCAATTAAAAACCTTGTAACATTCGTGTTTCTGAAATTGTATCCCGACACTTCACATTCGAAAATTTCACCGTTCAGATGAGCGGAAATCATATATTGTGGTGTTTGAGACATAGTGAAAATTGTGGTGTTTGAGTGTTTGAGGGTATGAGTGTTTGAGTGTTTGCGTGTTTGAGGGTCTGAGTATTTAATGTGTTTGATTGTTTGAGTTTAAAGAGTTTAAAGACTTTATAAAGGGGTGAGTGTTTTCTTGTTTAAAGATTTTTTTATATGTATCAGTAAATGAATGTGTAATTTTCATATGTGACCCTGCGAATCAATGACCATGCGTCAGGACTCTCTTTGCATGCAACAGGACACTTGTCACGCATGCTCCACAATCAATTACACGCATCAGGAATCTCTGCCATGAATTAATGACATGCACCAGGAATCAATGACATGCATCGGGAATCAATGACATGCATCCGTTTTGATTAGACGAAACAATGAAGGAATCTCCTTTTTCACATGTGATCCTGCATGCCTACATTGACCATGCAGGCCTACGACATCCTCTTTCTGCATGCCTCAGGACTGGATAAGACGGGACACTGCATCCAACATCAACATGCATTTACACATCACATGCATCATGACTTGCATCAGGACTTGAACAGGACACTTGATAAGACGTGACACTGCAGAGTTCTGCTTTCACATGTGATACTGCATCAGGAATCTCTGCCTTTCAATTGTCACCCATGCCTCACATTCAATGACATGCATCAGGACTTGAACAGGAGACTTGATAAGACGTGACACTGCAGAAGAAATATCTCTGCCTAAATATGTCTTTAATTAAGAAAAAACATAATATGAAAAAATATGTCTTTAATTAATGATATGCATCAGGAATCAATGACATGCATCAGGAATCAATGGCATGCAGCCT